AATTAATCGACTTACAGCCGATCATCGGATTATCATGCAATAATCTGCCAATCGTGGATTATTTCAAAATGGCTCGATCAATTGGCTCATCTCCAATGGTAATCTTGAATAATAATGATTCCTATGATTCCGAAAATTCTGAATATTACACATTTAAGATTCTACATATATCTTTTCACATATTCTACATCCTCCACACAAACTGAGTGGAGGTTTAAAATTTAAACGTAATTAGTTTTGCGTTGGCGTTTTGAAATTGGCGAAAAATCGATTTCAATGCAATGATTATTTTATGATGTTTAATAAAATTAACTTTAAATGTTCTACACGACTTGACGTTTTCATTTTTTTGTTTCTATAGAGATTTGTACAACAAAAGTTGTTTGACGTACAATTATAGTTCCATCTCTTTTCATGGCGCCTGGTATCAGCTAGCTATGATATACTGTAAAGTGTTATTGCGATAAACTTTGCTTTGCCTTTGTAAACATCGTTATAAAAAGAATGCAAAGTTAGCAAATATTAAAGCAGGATTCAATAAACAGTAAGTATATAAAAATAATTTTCTTTACTTATTAGTTCCGTTGAGTATACTGTCTATAGTCTATAGTCCACGATCGAACACATCTGGCGATTTCGTTTGCAATTTCAAAATTAATGATATTTCAGTTGATTTCAGATTCAGTTCGTTGAGAAAAATCGTTTAAAGTTAAAGAAATATGCAGAATTTAAGCATGAACGGTCTTGTGCCAGTCAGTAGATAGTGGCAATAATATAAAAAAGCTTCGGACTCTTCGGATTGATAGGGATGTAACTATGTCTGAAAAAAACAACAAGAAGAACAACGAGCGAAGCCGAAGTACCTTCATCGGAAAGTTAGTAATGATGAAGGGCCTTCGCTCGAAACGTCGAAGTTCTGCTTGTATTTTTCATGTAGTTGTATCCCTATCAATCCGAAGCTTTCGTTGACACAACGTGTTTGTTGATTTTCCCTTACTTGACAAAAACGCGTCATGATAGTTTATAACACGCTAACATTGTCAGCTAAAGCTTGTTTCCCCGCGATCTACTGTCGGTTAGTATAAATTGCGCTATTCTATAGCTGGCTTAGTCTTAATTTTCTGGATAGCGGCTTATCTTGCGTTCCATAAATCTGACCGTTGATTTCGCTATATACTTTCTTTGCGTTGATTTCGCTATATGTTTTCTTTGCGTTGATTTGCTTGGATAACTCGCGCGTCCTACCTTTGGCGTCACACGCACCGTGCACGCAAGCAACGCATGTTTTGCGGTCAGACCCCCACGCCGGGTGCCAGATTTTTATTGGACTGTTTAAGTCTCGGGCACCTGTAAGAAGCGTTGTTGCCCGTTTAAATTAGCTTCGTTTGTTTGAAACCCACTTGTTGGCTGTCTTCAATACTTGTGACAAAGTATTTGCATTTTTGAATCAAGGACAATTCATTTTACAAATTGTGGCAGGGTAAGCGAACTTAGATTTCTTGTTGTTCAACTTTTGTGACTGTTGGCGAAAATGTTTGCATTTGTATAACCGACCTTACTCTTCAGACATGTTTCGCTATTCTGGTTTAAAAAATGAATGCAATCTCATGCAAACACATTCACTGAGTTGTCTGATAACTACCTGCTTCCCGCGAGCTCACAAATCTTTGACATCGTGCAAAATTTGCAATTATTTCAAGCTAATGCATGATTTACATAACAAGTAAAGGTTTTGTTGTCTAAACTTAGTTAGTACTTTTTCAACATTGGAATCGAATTGCGAGCATTTTAATTGTAGCCATGCTAGGCATGCATACCGCATGCAGTTCATGTCGGCGACTTGAAAAGGGTTACAGTATATATGTGCTTCAACTTGTTGAAGAGTGGAGCCTCCATATATTAGGGAACTTTAGATTCGCTACGGCTACGAAATCTAGTACGACTACGAGATTTTTTCCATTCAGAATATCAGCTACTAAAAACTTACAATAGTACGTGGTTTGGCGCAACTGTTGCTATAAAGATGTGGTATGCAAAAGAAAGGACGATAAAAAGTCTGTAGTAGCAGATATTTAACGGGAAAATCTCGTAGTCGTACCAGATTTCGTAGCCGTAGCGAATCTAAAGTTCCCTAATTACTGATGTGGAGGTTATAATTGTAGTAGTCGAGTCTTTTTTTGTGCTCGTGTACATGGTTTATATATGGTTTGGATTGGGATTAGGGTTGCGGTTTCAGATCATATATACCTGTAGATTTTATTTTTGTCGAGTTAAAGCTGTATCGGCCCGATTAATCGTTGTGTGTAGACGTATACCTTTAGCCAATCCTCGAATGAATTGCATGGCTCGTCTTATATGGAATTGAGCATTAACCAATCAAAACATCGCAGTGATGCAGGTCATTTCTGTTGAACAATAAGAGATGGCCCTTACTGGACCTCTGGGGAGAACAGTTTAGAACTGATAGAGCTATCCAGTATAAATAAAGTTTGTTCATTGACAACGCTAGTTACAGGACGCTAACTTGAAGATACCAAAGCCTTTACTAAAACTTTTCTATAAACAAAGCTACCAATTCTGGGACATAGAAGACAAAACATATTAAACTTACAGGAAGACTAGATCTGAGAATTAGGATTATACTATAGTTACAATTGATCAAAATTTGTTAAGACATCAAAGCAATATACTTGGGTCTTGGCTACGAATCTCCCCACGGGTCTTTCATTACAATAACACATAAACAACTCTCAAAGTGTTTCTACACAATATATACTTCACTCTTCGGTCTTCAGATTCGCAAACTTGATACTTGATGAAAAAACCCGTCCTTTCACGACTAATTTACTTAATCAGCGATTATTCCAATGCCATGATTCATAAACATTTTTAGTTCATATTGATCACGTTTCATTCCGTTTCATCGCGTTGTGACGCGCGTGCGTCAGGAAAAAACACTCAGTCAAGTTCATCGGTCTGATCAGTCTTGACAGAGTGTAAATTCCTCTAACACATTTATTAGGCTTGTACTTATCTCTTTAATAAACTAAACACCCGCACATGTTCGTTTGTGTGTTTGATTTACACAGTACAACTCAAGTTGTAAGCAGGTTGCCTGCGACAGTTTTAGGCAAAAGTTGTGTGTGGAAATCGGTCTTAAGGGAGAACAAGTTCGAAATGATAGAGCAGTCTAAAGTTAATCGCTTAATATAACAAATATTTCTTTTGTAATTTGTTGATATATTGAATTTACATTTAAAAAACAAAATAATTTATCACGTACGGTTACGTAAAAGTACTTTTCATCGATCAATGAGTATGTTGCAACTTTCCACCTTTATATTGACAATCTGAAATGTCTCAGTCATCATTTACAATTATGCATTTCTTGTTTAATAAACATACTACACTTGCCTTGGCAACCCCCCCCCCCTTCCCACATTTGGATGATACCTGAATAACTGTGGAAGAAAGCTGTAACAATAATTTTCAACCATGAAAACATTGATAGACTACAAAGTAAGCTATATATATTACATGAAATTCAGTTAAGGCTAAAAATTCTAAATTACTAAGATTTCCAGTTACCAAATGTGGTTACAGTGTGTTATCAACCTAATCCCCCCTCCCCTAGCCTACGGTGTAGACCCCAGCAGAAACCGTATAGACTACGTACCCCTCCCCCAATATTTCGCAAAGTGTCTGTTATGGATATCGAGTTGACAAAAGCCATATAGGGAGGACCACTTTAAGTCCTTCCAAAACTCGATGTACAAAAGGAGATGTACTTGTGATGGATTCTCGTAAATACGTTTTTTCCATGCGTGGAAAAGACCAGAAAGGCTGATATATGTGATGCGAAATATTTTCTAATTAACTACTTTAAAATATGTAAGAGGTTTGAAGTGCTTTCAAGTAAGTAACAACATTGTTGGGTTTACAAATTTGGTGATTTATCCTCTTGGGAAACACTTACGCCAGACTTTTTCTCAAGTTGGCAACAACTCAGAGTAATATATCAACGTATCCTAGGCAAAGATTTCGAAACGATGCCTTGCCCATTTAATCTTTCTAGTTCATCAATATTACTTCCTCACTATACTGTGCAGACCTATGGGAAGTTATGCAGATCTGGTGAAGTCTCAGCAGTCCGCGCATCCGAAGCAGTATCACTCTGTATCAAGGATACACTCGATATCGATATCGTACTAACTATTCAAGGGGTTTGTTGAGTGTAAATTTTATACATCGACGGTACTCGAAATTTCAATCTACAAAATGTCAAAATTCTTCAATAGTTGTATCGAATGACAGGCCTAAAATCCTGTTATTTGCCCATACATCAAGGGTGATGGTTTGTAGTTTGCTATAACTACAGCTACTTCAGAAATATGTAGTCATGCAGCTACAACTACTGCTACTATTTAACAAAGGTAGTTCGCTATACTGACTACAGCTACTGCTTAAAAAATGTAGCGAACTATTTCGCTACTCTATACTGTTTGGTGAAACGGTATTTGGAGCATCCACTAGCTCAGGCTGTAATACAACCTATAACAAATCGACTTACGAGTAGCAACAGTAAACAAAAAGGGTCAAAGCAACATTTTTGTAAGCACTACAGTGTTCAGGAGTGCCACTTTTCATTGCGCTAAAATAATCTTTGCTGTATAAAATAATTTTTTAAGCAAACCGTGTCTTAATATCATTCTATTCTATGAACGGTTGCTAACAATTTTAAAAAGTAGCGAGTAGCGATTCGCTGTTTGAAAAGCAGTCAACTATTTGGCTATTTTTAGGCCAAAATGTAGTTCGCTATAACTACAACTACTGTTTTAAAAAGTAGTCAAAAACTACTGGCTACTTGAAAATTGTAGTTCGCTACTTCGCTACTACTCACCCTTGTCATACACCTTACATTGGCAGCACCTTAGCATATATATATGTATACATGAACTTGTTGTTAGAGCTCGTCAGCTGGACTCTGTAGGTTAGAGCGCTGCACCGGAATCGCAGGTTTGATTCCTATCAGAGGACCTATAGTTGCATTTTTCACAACTGCTCCTGGTTAAGGTGGAGTAATACGGGCAACAAAATTGCTGCAACTTGCAACAAAATCTGATTTCTACGCATGTTAATTGAAAATGTTTACACATACATTACAAATCACGAGGCAACATGTGTCGACATTCCTACTTAACATGCCTTGAAATCAGATTTTGTTGCAAGTTGCAGCAATTTTGTTGCTCGTATTACTCCAGCTTTAGGTCTAAAAAAATGTGTAAAATTCACATTCGAAATTTCCATCTAGAAAACCCTTCAATAATGGACCATTTGCATTATAGACTAAATTTTGATCTAGACAAAAATTTCATCACAGCTTGAAAGAGCATCACAAAATTAGTAATATTCCAAAGTTTCGTTGCGAAATGTTGTAAAATGCGGATAATATAGCCTTGCGAAATTTGCAATTTTCAGTCATTTTGTATTACAAACTGGAAATTGATCCCCAACACCCGATTAGGCTGTCAATTTCCCGTGCGCAATACAAAATGACTGAAAAACGGCATACTTCGCATGGCTATATTATCCGCATTTTACAACATTTCGCAACGAAACTTTGGAATATTACTAATTTTGTGGTGCTCTTTCAAGCTGTGATGAAATTTTTGTCTTGATCAAAATTTAGTCTATAATGCAAATGGTCCATTCTATCGAGTGAGATGGACAAAATCCTGGTATCTACCCATACGCCTTACATCGGCACCACCTTAGTATTTATACATGAACTTGTGGTTAGAGCTCGACAACTGGCCTCTGTAGTTCAGTTGGTTAGAGCGCTGCACCGGAATCACAGGGCTGCAGGTTCGATTCCTATCAGAGGACCTATACAATATACATTGTGTGAATTGAACAAGTCACATATTATTAGCACTGATGAAGATCCGGGCGGATCGAAAGCTTTGCAGTAATAAATTTACGTGGTGTTTCCACAAGCAATAGTATTATAGACCTACATATTGTTGCATAATTGTATGTAATCTTCCGCTCAACATTTCCATCTAGAAAAAGCCCTTCAACTTTGAGTTCTATCGAACAAGATGCCAACAAGTCTCGTGATATTGTGCACTACAAACCACAGCTGCTAGATTTTCTCGAACGTGACGTACGCATCCGTACCTATTTTTATACAAGTATTTTACATATATGGTTTTTCAAAATTTCATCTGAATTCAATTAAGACTTCCTCAAACTACCAAAAAATCTATTACATCCTTCATGAAGTATGCCATCACTTCGCACAAGCATTAAAATGAAATCAGTCAACAAAATTAAGGGTTTTTTTCACTGTGGGTTTCCTGACAGACGTTCAGCAAGCAAGGAAGCAAGCATTTGTTTCCTGTCGGGAAGATGTAATTCTGAAGGCGGTATAGTTGAACGACCTTGACCCCATTGCAGCATAGTTTAAGAAGCTAAGCTTCGATTCCCCCTTCGAACAAATTCGATCGGATTATCTGCCGTTAGTTTAGTCGAAACTTCCTGAAAAAATTAAAAATAAACTTTCTTCGTTCATTCAAACTATCGTTTAAAATATCTTTCCACTCTACCTTAGCTTTCAGTACTTGTACCATTCACATCTGTGTCCGGGGTTTATTACTTGCAATATGCAATGAATTTGAATTTATTATCCATCTTTGGGATTAAAAATACATTTACATTAAGTCATAATAGAATAAGATCAATAATTGTAGTTTATAAAATGACTAAGATTAAAAAGACTAAGTAAAAAACTGACGAGTTAAAAAGTTATTAAGACAAAGTTGAATGTTATCAGATTGATATATATTTACTAGATCTTGTCTGGTCATTCACCTCAGTCGAGTCAACCGAGTCAGTTGACTCGGTAGGAATTTGAGGACTGAAATCTTGCTCTTCAGTGACGCTGAGAAGGCGAATGTGTCAAGTACCCAATACATGTAATACAGAACTGTAGAATTTGAAGTGTGGTGAATGATAATACTATACCACGCACATTTTCATTACCGCATCATCACATCATGTTGCCTTATTGGAACTGGATTACATTTGGGCTACTGTAAAATTGCAGTAATTGTGTCACTGCTTATAATATTTTAATTTATTGTTGGAACACTCCTCAAAATACTGGGAATAGCTTATCTGAGCTTCAAGAAATCCAAAAGTTTCTGGGGGAGCATGCCCCCAGACCCCTCCAGACAGCTCGCACCTTCAGTTAATTCAGATTCTTCGCTAGCCTGCGCGCAGACTATATAATGACATATTCTTCGCTTGTTAGTGAACGTACAAAATTATGGTCATAATTGATTAAGGATTATCTTTTCATCGTTCTAATTATTTCATTAGATTCGATTCCACGATGTTGACATACGTGCGTCGAGGAAGTTATTCCTTGGGAATAATCGTCAGTTGTGAAATATCAGAAGTTTCAGGGCTTGAGTGTGTTACTATATGTTTTATAAAGTGCGATCTCCTAGCCTGCATTTTAGACGGCCACTCGTTGAGATCTCCTGCCTCTAAGATTAAAATACCTGTATTTTATGTACTGTTTAATAAACGAGCAGGAGTGTTTTATTAGGTTTAAAGCCACGAGCGCGCAGCGCGAGTGGCTTTAGACCTAATAAAACACGACCTGCGAGTTTATTAGAAACGAGAACGGCTCCAAACACGACTACAAATTCAATAGATATACTGCCTTATTAGTATTCTTTATATAAAGAATACTAACGAGGACACGACTACAATAGATACTGCCTTATTACTATTCTTTATATAAAGAATACTAACGAGGACACGACAACAATAGATACTGCCTTATTAGTATTCTTTATATAAAGAATACTAATTAGGAGTGTTTTATCAGGTTTAAAGCCACTGCACGTGACATATTATGGTTGACATGATTTGTCAATTAGCTTATGAATTATTAATGAGTGTTTGAAATTTTTATAATGTACTAAAAGCTCTATCTGTTCTAAATCAGGCTTGTCCTAGAGGTCCAGTAAGAGTCGTACCTTATTGCTCCAATTTTGTTACAGAAGGAAACCTAAACTAAACTAACTTTATTTATACTGGATAGCTCTATCAGTTATAAACTGTTCTCCCTAGAGGCAGTGGCGCCGGCAGGATTTATTTTTGGGGGAGCAAATCATTCGAGTGCCAAAGGCACGAGCCTACTAGGGGGTTTCGGGGGTATGCCCCCCCCCCCCGAGAAAATTTTGAATTTTGGGTGTCTAAAACCGCATTTCCTGCGTTTTGGAGGCACTTTAAGAGAAACATAAAGGTTTTAATAAATCACTTTTTTAGTAGATCGGAACATAATTGATTTCCATACAATATATGAATCAAATGTATTTTTAATAAAACCAAGAATGAAATGAAGAATTTAATGTTATAATACATATTTAGTACAAGTTCCATCTTCGGGGAGCTGCGTCGGTGAATCGTTCAACGAGTCCTTCGATGTCGAGGCCCCGACAAATGTCCGATTCCACGGACATGAGCATCAGCGATTCTAGTCGATCTTGCCTCATCGTCGACCTCAGGCGATTTTTTATTATTTTCAGCTTGGAAAATGATCTCTCAGCAGATGCTGATGTCAAAGGGAGAGTAAGGGCAATGTTAATAATTTTTGACAAATTGGGGAAGCATTCGGGTTCTTGAAGAAGTTCGCGGTATAAATCAACCAAAGACGGCTTTCGTTCTTTCGTTTCCTTGGCCATTACACGCAACCGTACACTTGACAACCAACTATTTACACACCGCACCCCCCCCCCTACCGCATCGGATTTGGACAAATCCAAAAACCCACTCTGGAAATATTGGGGGGGCGGCTGCCCCCCCTCGCCCCCCCTTGCCGGCGCCACTGGTTAGGAAGGGCCAGATCAGTGTGAGCATTTCTGAGGTCATAATTAGTTTGTAGAGAATTCCTCCTCATCAATAACTCTTTCAAATTTGATGCACTACAATCGTTCACAATTTTGTATAATAATGTTGCCTTACTCATACCTCGTCTTGAATCTAAATTTTCCCATTCAAGAGCCCGAAGAACGTCAGCAGACCTGATCTCATTAAATAATCCTTTTAATGTCGCATATATCGAACAAAACGTTTGTTGTCAATATCATTATCAGATAATAACTTGCTTACCCGAGAGAATATAAATCCTAGCGTGGTTTATATTTTTTGCTGATCGACCTACCTTGGTGCGACTGTATCTATAGGAGTCCAGAATGAAAGGTAGCTATCTAGCTTTTGTGTTAGGAACCAGTATAGGACGCAAGAAAACGGACGTGCCTTTGACGGAGCGTATATCTGAAATAGCTGGCAGATCTCCAGATAATTGTTTATTTGCATGCAGGACTCCTTCTCCATCAGATAACAGCTCTTATGTGCATGCTGGTCTACATGTTTCGTCAAGCTTTGATTAATTCTAATATTCTATAGAGTCTTAGTTAGAGCGTGGTTAGAGCCAATGTTGTTGCACGATGAATATGTAAAGGATAGTATAATAGCGTTCATTTCAATTCGTTTGTTCACACAGGGCTGTAGCTACCCAGGCTTTATACAACCGGTTCTATAGAAACCAGGCATGAGAGCCAGGGGCTGGTTGAACAGGATATTTCTCAGTGGATCCTCAGTGTCTCTTAGGAAATTGGGTTGACCCAACATCCATTGTACTTAAAAATGGAATAGAAATGTTGTTCTCTTCTAGAGAGAAGTATAAATCTGAATACGAAATGAAGTTAAGAGATGAACTGGATGTAATTACAACAAAGACAAATACTGAGTTGGATAAAATTAAAAATAATACTAAAGAAATGTATGAGAGAGAAAACAGGTGAGAAGTATAAGACAGTAAAGATATAGGTATGGTTTCAACTACCTAAAAAGAAAAAGAGTAAGCCTAGTACTAATATATTACCTTCGGCTGCACAGGATACAAACACATTAACGGTTTGTATATATTAGTTTCCTATAAACACAGTTAGTAACCTCGTGTCTATAGTGTTGTTTTAGTCCATATCTTGGATTTCTCAGGACGTTTCGGACATTTATATCGTCTTATAGTTTCTAACTTTATTCTTTGTAAGAAACTTAGTATTTCTTCTTTTCGAATGTTCAATGCATGTCAATGTCAGTTTTGCATAACTTGTAAAGTATATTATAATATTTGTAATAAGACGTCTCGATGCAAAAGAGCCATGTATTTTTTATGATTTTTCCACCATGTATTTTTCATAAATTTTCAATGATTAATTTCCCAATGAAATTTTACAGAGCCATTTTTTACTAATTTATTCTTCAAAAATTTAAAATCTTAGAAACTTGAGAGAAGCAAGAGACAATGCACTTGCAGAAAAAGACAGAGCTGTACATGCTGAACAACAGATGACGTCACGATATGAACAGGTGTTCCAAGAGTAGGTATTCCAACCAAGACTCGCAGGTTTTGTAGTGTTATAGTGTAATTATCTGCATCTCTGATCTAGTTCCAGTCTTCACTAAGATAAAAGATCTGTACTTACTAGATTGTTACCCTATTAAAGGACTGGCACGAGTATTGACCTTTTGCCGTTATGGAGAACTTAGTGAAGTCGACATTGTGGTTTAGATTTTGGTTGAGAATGTGGGAACTGTTGCTCACAAATGTTTTCCATTTGTTCCCTGAACCTACACACCTGACCCCCTAAAAATATAACATATTTGTCTGCAGAATAGTCATGATCGCGAATTTATAAGTAACTTGTGATAAAAATTCTGATAAAGTATGCAAACATAACTTTCCTGCATGTTTAAAAGATAAGGATCTTCCTGAGACAGTCCACTCGACGATTTTATTTATTTTAACTCAAATGTTATAAAATAATTGAACAGGAGTCAACTTATACAAAATATTTAAAACTGCTGCTTCAACAAGAAGAACGGACATGATAATAAGCGAACTGTGAACATGCAACATTAATTACAATTCAAATACAGTAGTCAAGCAAGACTGTTCAGCAGGCAAGCAAGACTTTTCAGTAGTCAAGCAAGACTTTTCAGTAGTCATGCAAGACTTTTCAAGAGTAGTCAAGCAAGACTTTTCAGTAGTCAAGCAAGACTTTTCAGTAGTCAAGCAAGACGTTTCAGTAGTCAAGCAAGACTTTTCAATAGTCAAGCAAGACTTTTCAGTAGTCAAGCAAGATTTTTCAATAGTCAAGCAAGACTTCTTTTCAGTATTCAAGCAAGACTTTTCAGTATTCAAGCAAGACTTTTCAGTAGTCAAGCACGACTTATCAGTAGTCAAGAAAGACTTATCAGTAGTCAAGCAAGACTTTGCAGTAGTCATGCAAGACTTTTCGGTAGTCATGCAAGACTTTTCAGTAGTCAAGCAAGACTTTTCAGTAGTCAAGCAAGACTTTCAGTAGTCAAGCAAGATTTATCAGTAGTCCAGCAAGACTTATCAGTAGTCAAGCAAGACGTTTCAGTAGTCAAGCAAGACTTTTCAGTAGTCAAGCAAGACTTTGCAGTAGTCATGCAAGACTTTTCAGTAGTCATGCAAGACTTTTCAGTAGTCATGCAAGACTTT